TAAAATTGAGCTCTGAAAGATGAATGAATAATGAAAATATAGTATATATGCATAATCCATCAAGAAAAGTGAAATTATAAAATGTCTAGAAACTGTCTAGAAGTAGAAAATACATTAATTGAGGTAATCCAGTTTCAGAAACACAAATACCAAATGTTCTTTCTCACATGCAGCACTAATTGTTAAATATCTGCATTTAGATGGGAGGCCAGGAAACTAGAAGGGGGTCCATGTAAAAGTGGACCAAAGGCTTCAGAGGAGAGTGGTAAGGAGGGCAGCAGAACATAGGGGCTGTGTGAGTCCGAAGGGGAATGCTGGGGTGGCTAATTTAAAATAAATAAGTAGGGCTGGGGAGTTGGCTGTGATGGCTCATCTTGGGTGTCAACTTGATTGGATCTGGGATTAACTGAAATGAAAGAGATCTTCTTGATTGGATCATCTGAAGCTGGAAGACACACCCTAAATGTGGGTGTAAATTACCTTCTGAAGGCAGCCGGTATAAAAGGCCAAGGCAGAGGAGAACGCCAGACTTCTTGCTGCTTGCCTTCTCTCTCGCTGGTGAGTTCATCTTGCTGCTGTAGACTGAAGACTAGCTGATCTTTTGGAATTCGTCAGACCTTCAGCACCAGATTGGGATTACTGAGTCATCCAGCCTCGTGGACTGAGTGACTACAGATTCTCAGCCTCTCCAGTGTGGTGCAGCCATTGTTGGACTACTCGGACTCTATCCTATGAGCTAAACTGATAAATCTCTATACATATATATTCATCCTACTGGTTCTCTTTCTTTGGAGAACCCTGACTAATACAGTGGCTCAGCAATTAAGAACACTAGCTGCTCTTGCAGAGGATCTGGGTTCAAATCTCACACCCACAATGCAGCTAACAACCATTTATAACTCCAGTTCCAGGGTATCTGACATCCTCTCTGGCCTCTGTGGGCACTGCATGACACAGGTGCATTTACATACATGCAGGCAGAACACTCGTGCACATAAGTAAATAAGTAAATATAAAATAAGTAAGTAAAGAAATAGAGCAGCCTCTTACCAGTAAAAACACAAAGAACTTTTTTTTGGTCTTTTTGAGACAGGGTCTCCCTGTAGCCCCAGCTGTCCTGGATTCACCATGGAGACCAGGCTGGCCTTGAACTCACAGAGATCTGCCTGCCTCTGCCTCCCGAGTGCTGAGATTAAAGGCGTGCACCACCATGCCCAGCCACAAGGAACATTTTAAAGTAAACAAAATTGCAATTGAGTGTACCAATTCCAAATATAATTGTACAAACTCGGCCCAAGTTATCAGTAGGAGAGCTTATTTTAAAAGTGTCATTTTGGGGCTAGGGAGATGGCTCAGTGGTTAAGAGCACTGACTGCTCTTGCAGAGGACCCGGGTTCAATTCCCAGCACCCTCATGACGGCTAAGAATTGTCCTTAACTCCAGTTCCAGGGGAATCCGACGCCCTCTTCTGACCTCTGAGGCATTGCATGACACGGGTGCAGTCACATACATGCATACACATAAAAATTTTAAAAAGTAATAAATAAAAAATATATATATAAAACAATAAGTGTCAACTTTGGGGCCTGGGAAGATAGCCTAGTCAGTAAAGTGCTTGCCTAACACAGGAGGACCTGAGTTTGATTTCCAAAGCCCACATAAAATGCCATATTTGCAATCCCAGTCCTGGGAAGGTGGAGCCAGGAGGACCCCTGGTGCTTGTTGGCCAGCCTGTCTAGCCTAACTGATGAGCTCCAGGCAAATGAGAGCCCCTGACTCAACGGAGATAAAAGAGGTTCCTGAGGATGACACCTGAGATTGTCCTCTGACCTCCACTTACACAGGCACATAAATGAACATGCATCTGCACAAACACACCTACACAACACATACAAACAGGCACACACACATCACACATCACACACACACACACACACACACACACACACACACGTGCCATCTTAAACCACAAGGATGTCCATTAAAGGTTTGGTATTAAATATGTAAAAGGATGTTTTCAAAATGCCCGCTTAACCCCCTAAACATCTTGAACCCACCTTTTGCTGTCCTTCTTAGTCCATTTTTAAAGTTTGTTTTACTTTTCTATTAGACAGGAGAAAGACAGATACACATTGGTAAATGCTAACATACTCATACAGAGACAGTGTGGTGTCTGAGTCCAATATACAGAGAAAGGAGGGGAAAGCTGGAATTCTGCACACAATGCAGGGGCCCAGTGCTCTCTAGCTTCCAGCAGAGCAAAGGAAACAGAAGGCTTTCACTATTTTTCCCCATAGAGCATGGTGGTGGTGTTTATTCCAGACAAAGAAGGAATAAAAATGAATTTAGAACAGAAAAGTATGGCGATTCCTTTCCCATTTTATTCTGCTCAAGGTATTTTTAAACAAAGAAATCAAGAACTATGGTTTGTGAAGAGAGACCTCAAAAACAAGGTGATTGACTTCAAGGGGCAGAAGTGGTGGCGGCCTAGACTGTCACCTGCTCCCAGAGGCTGGAGAAAATAATCCATCTGTGTTCTTATCTATTAGTCATCTCCTTCAGTCTCCCCTTTCTCCCCTTCATCATCTTCTTCATCTTCATCCTCATCTTTTTTTTAATCTTCTTTTGAGACAGGGTCTCCCTGTAGCCAGCTGTCCTGGAACTCACAATGTAGAGAAGCTGGTCTGGAACTCACAGAGGTCTGCCTGCCTCTGCCTCCTGAGTGCTGGATTAAAGGCATGTGCCACCACGTCTAGCCCTTCATCCTCATCTTCTAATCCTTACCCTCATCCTCATCATCTTCCTCTCCTCTATATCCATATCCCCCTTTACCTCATGGGTGGTGAAGGGGGATATGGATATGGTTAGGAACCAAGGAGTTCTGTAAGGGGTTGGGCCAACACCACCTCTGATGAGCTCTGGCTCCTCTGCACCTGAAGTAGCAACCAGGCTGGGAAGCTCTGACTTGAGCATTTTATCAGGCGGTTTCACTTCCATTGGATTTTGTGGACTTTTGAAGACAAGATCACCACTGGCACTCAGGTTAAATTCTTTAGCGAGAACTTAAGTTTTGAAGCAAAGATTTTCATTAAAATAAAAGTCTATTCTGTAACCTGAATCTTTTTGTTGTTGATCGCTTTGTTTTTGGTTTTGTTTTTTGAGACACGGTCTCCCTGTAGCCCCAGCTGGCCTGGAACTGGCTATGTAGACCAGACTGGCCTGTGAGATCTGCCTGCCTCTGCCTCCTGAGTCTTGGGATTAAAGGAGTGCACCACCACACCTGGCTTTGTAACCTGATTTTTATATCTCAAATTCTGTCACTTCAACTCTGGTCAAATGATGGGGTGCTTCTTCATCTCCCTCCCCACACACTGCAGACACTTGCAGATGACTGACAAATGCCGTTAGCTTAAAAATTGGAGGATTTGGGGACCAATTCTGATGGCTCTGAAAAAATGGTTGGCAGAGTTGGTTTCATTTCTGTTCTTTCAATTCTCTCTGGCTTCTTCATTAAGCAAGTGTGTTTCACTTTGTACTTAACACTATGTTCACTTGCTTCTTGCAATTCGTTTTGAAATTCTTTTTCTGAGGTCTCCTTAGTCTCTGGCCTTTGGAGTTGAGCTCCATTTCACTGACTCTGGAGGATCTGACACCCTCCTCCATGGAGAAGGAGGAGGAGGCTGAGAGAGGGAAGGAGAAGAGGAGGGGTGAGAGGAAGGGAAAGAGGAAGAGAGGGAGGGGGAAGAAGGGGAGAGGGAGGAGTGCAGAGAGAAGGGGCCAGAGGAGGGAGGAGGGGAAGAGAGGAAGGGGAGAGAGAAGTGGCGAGAGGTGAAAAGAGAGAGAGGACTGAAGAGGGGAAGGGACGGAGCTGAAGGGAGAAATGGAGGGTGAAAGAGGAAGAACTCGGTGAGCCCACGGTGACCTCCCGCTGTTCCTCCCATCCACTCTTCCGGATCCTCCCTAGTTCCCCCCACTTCCCCCACTCCTGCTCACCGGCCCCCAACCTTTGGCCCCGCCCTCAAAAGGCCACTTTACTGAGCTCGCCCATCCCGCCACCTTCTCTTCCTGTCCCTCTCGGTGGTCTGTTCCCTCTCCCCCTGGTCCCCTCCCGGTCTCAGGCTAGCCTTCGCTCTCGGGAGCTGGCTGGGCGCCCTGTAGACTCAGCTATGGTTTCTGGGCTGAGGCTGACCGACGGGACTTCTGGGCGCCTGACTTGTGACTCGTCATCTCCAGCCACTTCCTCCTCCACCCCCTAGCCTAGACCAGGGCGGGGAATTTTTAACCACTGCTCACTCTTTGGATGATTTTGTGGTATTGCTCTGAATATCCCTCACCCACACTTCGAACGGGAACAATTTATTCATTTTTTTTTCTTCTTTGCTTTCTGGAACTGTGGGAAAACCCTGTACTGCTGTTTTCTAAATTAACGCTTAAGGGGGTTTCTAAACGTCCTCTGCGCTGGGCTGGCCGGGGCTAAGGATGCAGCTCAGCCCTGAGCTCTCCCTGTAGGTGCCCAGGGAGAGTGAGCATTGGTCTGGACGCCTAGGATGAAGGGACAGTGGGTTCTAGAGGGCTCTTCCCTCACCCCGCGGTTGAGTCAGGAGTGGGTCTTTTTTTTGTGGGGCGGGGGTGGAGCTTCCCAGAAAGAGCAATTCACACTGCAGACTACCTGTGAGCTAGATTTTTCGACCCCAGTCCTTTTCCAAACCTGTGAGGAAAAAGTGATTGATAGCAGGTAACTGAGCAGAGCATGTTACGAAAATGTCAAAAGGAACCTCAATATTTTTGCAATTCATATGAACTAAAAAGCGAAACTGTGGTTTCTAAAGACTGATTTTCCATGGAATGAGTTAGGTAGATTCGTATTATCATAACTGGCATAAGAGGGGGTTCCCCACAAAACGTAACGTGGCAGGAGGACTGTACTCCTCCGGGGTTGGAGGGGGGAGGGGCACCTGCTCTTTGGAGCAGACCCGGCAGCGCAGCCCAAGGGATGCAGGTGGAGTTGCATAGGGCGGGTTATTCCACCGAGAGGCTGGTACTTCTTCACTCTGACAAATCGAAAAGCTCTCTCCTGGAGTGACGCTGATGGAAGCAATGCAAACCAGATATATTCAGTGGAGACCAGCGCTGGAGATAGAAAGGACTCGGGTGGACTTAGTCAAGAAGGAAGGACTCGGGTGGACTTAGTCAAAAAGGAAGGACTCGGGTGGATTTAGCGAAGAAGGAAGGACTCGGGTGGACTTAGTGAAGAAGGAAGGACTCGGGTGGACTTAGTCAAGAAGGAAGGACTCGGGTGGACTTAGTCAAGAAGGAAGGATTCGGGGACTTAGCGACCACGACCGACCGTAGCTGAGAGTGGCCTAGAGGCAGAAGCTCCAGACCCCCATGCCGGGCGTTGTCGCAGCTGGCCAGGTCTCTCCCAGATCGCCTGCCTCAGCTCACCGAGTCCTCCCTGGAAGCTGGCTTGAACTCTGGGCCTGCAGCACCTCAGCTTGATAAACACATATCGCTTGGGTAGGTGACTACGCTCCTTTACAGCGTCTTCCAGCCCCAAACCTTATGCCCTTTTCTGCCCCTCACTTCCACCCCTGGTCCAGGCTCCTGACTCTGGGACCATATGGGGCCGCTCCTACAACTTGCCTCTCTCGGGGAGACCCTGGCGGGTTTGTCTCCCTTCTAGGAACTTTCGCTCCTTGGGATCTTAGCTTCTTTACAGAGTGCAGGCCGTTGAGCGCTTGGCCACTACAGGGACTTGGGCTGAGAGCAAAATTCTTTGTCTGCTCCGGAGGGAGGGCTTGGGAGTCCTGGCAGAGAGCCAGGGCTCTGTTTCCTGCTTCCTCTGAGCCTGGGCGAGGCAGGAAGAGCTCCCAGGGAGAGCCCCTTCCACTCCTGTCCAGTTTCTGACCTTTCCTACCAACCTGCAGTTCTGGCAGAACTAAGCCACCCGAATGAATGCCATCGTCTTGCCTGCTGGGCACAGCTAACAAGACAACCTCATAATTCCCGAAAAAAAAAAAAAAAAAATCTGACTTGGAAACCAAGCTCAAAGTTTTGGGGAGTTGTGGCTCAGATGTCCATTTTATTTTTTAAGACACATGGTTACAGGAAGTGAATTTCAACCACAGAATATGTACATAACCACAGCCTGAGACTGAGATGGCCCACAGGTTTTCTAATAAGGAGGCTCCACTGCAGCTCCAAGTTTCCAAGGGGCAAGAGCAGCACTTTGGGGTGAGATGTGATTCCTGTCCTGGTTTCCATGTGGTGAACGAGCCCGAAGTGCTTACTTAGTACAGGGACTTATTCTGGGGGTGTTGGAAGTAGGGATTGGGAGGAAATGAGGAACAGGTTAGGAATAAAACTGAACTCACTTCTCCTTTAGCCTCATGAGCTTCTCTGGTTTTGGTTTTGATGGGCTTGCGGGGGAAGGGCAAGGGGCAGGAAAAGGCTCAATGAAAGTCAAAAGATGTGATGGGCATACTGACTCCTCAGTCACACAGAGATCTTAGTATGGTTACAGTAAATATTTGAAAGTCTTTCTAATAGCCGGGCATGGTGGCGCACACCTTTAATCCCAGCACTTGGGAGGCAGAGGCAGGCGGATCTCTGTGAGTTCAAGGCCAGCCTGATCTACATAGTGAGTTCCAGGGCAGCTGGGGCTACAGGGAGACCCTGTCTCAAAAAGACCAAAAAAAAAAAAAAAAAGTGTTTCTAAACCTGAGCTGTAGGGAAATCATTCAATAAAGGCAGATTAATGCTATGCAAAACCACCCAGCAGTTTACAAGGTTTTTGATTTCTGATCACATGGCAAAGCAAGGTTCAAAGCCACTGGAAGAGCTTGTCTCATGCTGGGTCAAATGTCATTTTATTGTATTTCATTTCTTTGCCATATTGGGAATTGAACTCGGGGACTTTCTTAGCACTGAGCTACCATAAACTGGGTTCGAACTTCTGTCAACAACAATAGGAGAAAAGAACATCGCAAATGTAAAATCTTAAAATCTTAATAACTCAGTACTAAGAGCAGGAAACAGGGCTATAATGGATGTAGTCACAGCTACTCAGGAGGCTGGGGTGGTAGGACTGCTTGAGCCTAGAAGCCAAAGTCCAGTCTGGGAAGAGGAAGGAGGGATTAAAGAATGAAGTTGCTAAGCTTACCCTTCACCCATAGAAACATGAATAAAAATGCGGTAAACACCAAGTCAAACAGAAACGCAGTGGACTAAGTTAAAGATTCATAGTAACCACGCCTGTGTCCAAACAAGAAAAAAACATATTAAAAACTGCAGGAAATCTCCCGAAGTTTCACTCCGCTGCAGGCAAGGTTTCTGTCTGAAGAAAGCAGCCAGCTCCCTTGCAGTTTCCTAGCTGGAAGGGACAGAGGGAAGCTTTGTTTACAATACTGTCACCTGTCTGTGGATTGGCTGAAGGCTTGGTTTCTGTCTCCTAATTTAGAGCTAAGGAGGTAGGTGACTGCTAGTGTTTGTGAACGCTGCCGTGAGATACAAAACCACAGATGCCCAGGTAAGAATACAGCTAGAGACTTCGCCATCTAAGGTGCTGCTGAAGGAACCAAGGGAGGAGTTTGGAGAAAATTAAGATATTGAACAGTAGTCTTGAGTTAGAGGGTATTGAGAAGGTCATACACACAATATACAGGGAGGGTGACTGGTCAGGAAAAAACAAATCAAACAAATCTGAAAAGACCCAAGTTTGTGTGATGTGTGTGTGTGAGAGTGTGACGATCAGAGGTCGGTGCTAGCTCTCTATCTGGATTGGTTTCCACGCTTTCATTTTATTTTTGCAAATTTATTCAATGTATGAGTGTGCCTGTGCGTGCGTGCGTGTCTCTCTCTGTGTGTGTGTGTGTATGTGTGTGTGTGTGTGTGTCTCTTTGTGTGGGTGTGGAGGTTTCATGGTGTGTTTGGAGATCAGAAGACAACTTTTGGGAGTAGCTTCTCTCTGTTCACCATGTGGGTTCCAGGGATGGAACTCAGCACATCAGAGTTGGTGGCAAGGGCCTTTACCCACTGAACTGCCTCATCAGTTCCTCCACCCCTTACATTTCTAGACAGAGTCCCTTTCTTTACTGGACCTCACCAATTGACTAGACTGGCTGTCCAGCAAAGCCCCAGGGATCTTTTTCTTTGCCTCCCAGAATTGGGGTTTCAGTCTTCAGTCTTGACCATTCCCAGCTTTTTATGTGGGTCCCAGGAATCCAGACTCAGGCCCTCATGCTTACACAGCAAGCACTTTACCCAACCGAGCCATGTGCCTAGTCCCAAAGACCTTAAGCTTTGACTTCGTGTTGATGCCTGGGATGAGGGAATGTCTAGTTGTCCGTGAAAGACTGCCTTGCCATGCAGGTGCCCTGGGAAGATTGAGAGAGCTAGTTACCTTCCTAACTACCTAAGTTTCAACCAAAATTCACAGTCGGAAATCAGGTCCCATGTAGAAGAAGGAGACAAATGGCTAGAATCTGCTTTTAGAAGGTAAGACCCTAGACAAAGCAAACAAGTCTTGCAGACATGTGACTTGATATCCACATGCAAAGAATGAAATTAGACCCTGTAGAAGTTTGAATGAGAATGACCCCCATGGGCTCCAGGTATTTGGACATTTTGTCCCCTGTTGGTGGCGTTGTTTTGGGAGGTGTCAGAAGTGTGGCTGGAGGGAGCATGTCACTGGGGGAGGGCTTTGAGAGTTCTTTCTTTTTTTTAAAAAATTTTTAAAATTTTATTTATTTTTAAATTTTATGCATATGCGTGTATTGCCTACATGTAGGTAAATGCACCCATGTTGTGCAATGCCCACGGAGGTCAGAAGAGGCTGTTGGATCCCCTGGGACTGGAGTTATGAACAGTTGTTAGCTGCCATGTGGGTGCTGGGATTCGAACCCAGGTCTTCTGCAAGAACAACCAGTGTTCTTAACTGCTGAGCTATCTCTCCAGCCCCAGACTTTGAGACTTCTTAAGATTTCCTACCAGATTTCCAGTCCTGCTCTGCTTCTTGTGCTTGCTTGAAGATGGAAGTTCTCTGCTCTGGTCCCCTCCTCCTACTGTGCCTCACTATCATGATGATTCTAATCCCTCTGAAACCATGAGCTAAATAAACTCTTCCCTCTATAGGTTGCTGTGCTCAGTGTTTTTAATCACAGCAATAGAAAAGTAACTAGTACAGTCCCTTTCTCAGAAGAAATTATACAAATAAAATAAAAATGGGTCAAACACTTAAATGTAAGACCAGAAAGGAGAAAGAAACACAGAAACTAACAATTCTATGACACTGGTTTTCCCAAAGATCATTTGGATTATTTGGATGCTGTCCTAGTTAGATTTTGTATTTCTGAGACAGTCTCAATATGTAGCCCAGCTGGCCTGGAACTCAGAGAGATCTCCTTGCTTCTGTCTCCCAAGTATCTGGGTTGAAGGTGTGTGCCACCATGCCCAGTAAGTTCTGGTTACCTTTAACTGTCAACCTGAATTATCTTTGAAGAGAATCTCAATTGAGGAATAGCCTAGATCAGATCAGAACATGGGCATGTCTATAGGGGATTGTTTTGATTGTCAGTAAATGTAAGAGGGCCCAGTCCACTGTGGTGGCATCATTCCCTCGGCAGGCGGACTTGAGCTGCAATATGGAAGCTAGCTGAGGGTAAGCCTGCCTGCAAGCCAGCAAGCAGGATCCTTCATGGTTCCTGCCACACTTTGACTGTGAAGTGAGTTCCTTGGTCAGAGCTGATACTGTGTGGAATGGCGTGCAGGCCTGCCATCAAATTCCTGCCTTGACTTCCCTCAGTGATGGACTGTGACTTGCAGTTGTAAGCTGAATCAATCTGTTCTCCCCCAGAGTTGTTTTTGGTGAAGATGTTTGTCACAGCAACAGAAATGAAATTAGGACAGATGTGATCTCTTAAAGCACAGGCATCAAATTCAAAGACAGCCATGCATGCAGTTATATAAAACTAAAACATTCCTGTACATCAAAGGAAGCAATCAAAAAGTACAGGCAACCTACAGTGTGGAGGACATACGTATAACCCACAGAGGCATAAGGGCCTGCTATCAAAGCACATAAAACACTCGACAGAAGGAAACAAACATCCTGATTAGAAAATGGGCAGCGTGGACATTCCCATAGACGACTTAGCAACAGGCAACAGGTGTCTGAAAAATGCTTAGCATCACCGATCGTAAATGACTGGGTAGCTCAAACCTGTTTTACAGAAAGACCCAAGACACACAGACTCCACTCAGGTTATTTATTGAAAGAATGCTCAATACAAATTGTACAATACAAAGGACTAAAACAGTGGATGAAAGATTAGAGGAGATTCAGTTATAGCAGCTCATTTGAAATTCAGAAGGAGTATAAGTTATGCAAGGGAGGGGAAAGTCTGTAATAAATAACCATGTCCCACCTGCACACTCTCAGGTCTCCCGGAACCTGCACAGCAGAGGATTTTGCTGTTTCCCTTACAGTACAGAACTTACTCTGTGCTGATTCCACCTTATTCTAACATCTGTCTCCTTTACAGGAATAATTTCTACTTGGACACCTACTGGCTGCTGAGAAAATGGTCGTCAGCATTGATCTGGAAACTGACCTTCCAGAGCTCGTTCTAAATGTTGGAGCGATCACGCTTGGAAAGAAGAGCAGGGAGGAAATGAAGAGCCGTTGTCTCAGGAGACGGGAGATTGAAAGCGTCTCCCGAGCTCTGTGTGTGCTGCTGAACTCTGGAGGGGGCGTGATCAGGGCTAAAATTGAGAATCAACAATACAGTCTGAGCAGAGATGGAATAGGACTGGATTTGGAAAACTCTCTTTACAGTGTTCTTCCATTCGTTCAGAGATGCCTCGACTTCGTGGAGAAAGACGGCCACTTCTATGTTTTTGTGAAATCGGGGGGTCCGGAGAGCTCCGAGCTGCCGATCGTCACGTTGAAGACCAACCTGTACATGAGAAGCATGTCATCCTCAGTCGAGGCCCCTGCTGCTGCTGCCCTGGAGCTCCTCACAGACATGAAGGAAACTGGAGGGAGGTGGGACTTGAGACCAGAGCTGCCGCCAAACAGAGCCTGCGCCTGCGTAGAAGAAGAATGTCAGGTGGAGGACTTGGCTGCTGAGTTTTTTCACAGGACAAAACTTCTCTACAAGGGGGAGTTCCCCTTCTGTAAATCCACACACGTGGAGGTTAGGAAGGTCTCAACCAAACGACTGTTGAAGTGCATTAAAAAGATTATCTCTCGAACTGTTTCTGCATTTGCAAACACTGACGGGGGTTATTTGTTCATTGGTTTGGATGCAAAGAAACAGCAGATCATTGGTTTTGAAGCAGAGGAGAGTGATCTTGTGCATCTAGAGAGTGAGATCGGAAAGTGCGTCCGACAGCTGCCTGTCTATCACTTCTGTGAGGAGAAGGAGGAGATCAAGTACTTGTGCAGATTCATTGAAGTCCATGGCCCAGGAGGTGTTTGTTCATATGTCTGTGCGCTCAGAGTAGAGAGATTCTGCTGTGCCGTGTTTGCTAAACAGCCTGATTCCTGGCACGTGGAAGACAACTGTGTGAAGCCGTTTACCACGGAGGAATGGGTCAGGCACCTGATGGAAGGCAGGGCAGGTTCAGGAAGGGGGATTAGCAATCAGGATATACTTAGCCAGGGTGGTTAGGTTTCTCTTGGGGATTTATTGCACTCATACCAAGAACAGACCAATAGAACTATATGAATATAAAATTCAGCAACAGAAACAATGCCCACAGGACAGAAGAAAATCTAGCTTTGTATCTAACAGAGCATTTAAATGTAGAATATGTACAGTACTCATAATGTTCAACCCCCAAACCTCGTGTAACATAATCAATAAATGCTTCCTCTTCCTCTTAAAACCTCATTGTAAGTACACAGCACCTTTTCCTTATCCATTCATCTTTTGATGGACATCTAGGCTGATTCCACGTCTTGGCTATTGTGGAATTACATGGATGCTCACGTATGTCTGTGGCATTCTGACTTGGATTTCTTTAGATACCTACAGTGGACTATCTGAATGCTATGGCAGCACAACCTTGTTTTTAAAGGAAACTCCATATTGATTTCTATAGCAGCTGTGCTAATTTGCATATATAGTAAACTGATAGGAAATGCAACAGGGCAAGAAGATGGAGTAGGAGGGGATTTAGTGACTTGCTATGTACCCAGGCTAGCACTGAATTCATTGTGTGGTCCAGCTTGGCCTCAAGGTCTCGGCAACCCTCCTATTTCAGCCTCCAGAATGCTGGGATTACAGCATGAGCCAGGACAAGCAGGTCGGGGTGGGGCGATTTTAACTCTGGACAATAAGCCCAAGTTGGTCAAGATGTAGATTGTCAATACGGAAAAGGAAAAGAGGGGAAAGGAGTGAGCAAGGAAGAAACTCCTAGAGCCAAACAATTCAGCAGAGCATCCCACCGACCTTCTCACTTTATTTTTCCAGTAGTGTGGGGACCTAAAGGCCCCACCTTGCATAGGTCCGAAAGGAAGTTACTGGGGGCGCGGCCTGGCTTGCTTTGAAAGTCTGAAGAATACTTCTGCACTGCTGAGGAGTGTATGATCAGCTCAGGACCATCCTTAAGACACACCCTGGAGGGGGGAGGGGGGATTTCCAGGTGCCTTTATAAGCTCTGTAATACCTGTAATAAATGAGTCCCCGCTTGACTAGACTCCCCGTTGCGTCTGAGTTTCCCTGGTACTGAGGGCGGTGTGGGCTGGCGAATGGTGTGCTTACTCATCCCCAATCATCACTGCCTGGGGGTCGCTGGTTTGAACCTCTGGCACAGTAGCCTCTAGAATCCTGACAGCTAGAGTTGGAGCCCAATGGGAATTCCTGCTGAACACTCTTCCTCACCTTGCTGTTAATACTGTTGTCTGGAAAACAGATTATTCTAGGGGAGGCTGTACATCACACCCACACCCAAATCCCTGAGTTACAGTAGAGAAGGTATTCTCACAGATGCTTCTCCTGACAATCTGAATTTCGAAACCAGGAGACAAGGAGTGATGCTCACCCTCCTCTCTCCTCCTGGCACTGCAGACAGGTCTGAGATCACAAACTTGCTCAGAACTCTAACCTTCTGCTGCTGTTTGTCAGCTCTTCCAGGATCCCAGAGCAGGAGGAGGACCCAGTCACCTAGGACCCCTCCTTCACGGCCAGAAACTGCAGGGTAGACAGAATTTCACCTTTATCCTCCTAGGATCATTGCTTCAGTCTGAGACTTAAATTGGCATGTGGCCAATTAACAAGAGACAATCATAGTCTGTGTGTGTGTGTGTGTGTGTGTGTGTGTGTGTGTGTGTGTGTGGTGTCTGTGTGTCTGTGTCTGTGTGTTTGTGTGGTGTCTTACTGGAGATTGACCCTATGGTCTCAGACATGCTAGGCATGTCATCTTCCACTAACATGCATTCCTGCCATGAGTGTAAAGATTTTTATACACTTTTAGAGCTTGCTGGAAAAAGATTTGCAGGTAAAGAAGAGGAAAATGGGTACTGGAGAGTTGGCTCAGTGGTTAAGAGCAGTGTCTGCTCTTATAGAAGACCTGAGATTGATTCCCAGCACCCACCCACATGGCATCCTACAACCCTCTCTAAGTCCAGTTCCAGGGGCTCCGGTGCCCTCTTCTGTCCTCCGCAAGCACTGCAGGACACGGGTGCACCTACCTACATGCAAACAATACGTTTATACACATAAAATTAAAAAAATGTTTTTAAAAAAGAGGAAAGCCGGGCGAGGTGGTGCACACCTTTAATCCCAGCACTTGGGAGGCAGAGGCAGGCAGATCTCTGTGAGTTTGAGGCCAGCCTGGTCTACATAGTGAGTTCCAGCACAGCTGGAGCTACAGGGAGATCCTGTCTCAAAAAAACCAAAAAAAAAAAAAAAAAAAAGAAGAGGAAAATAAAGACAGTCTGCCAAGGGAATGTGAGATGCTGCCAGTCACAGACCCTCTAACCTAGAGCACCAGGTGAACAATAGGAAGAGGAGGGATTCCCAGAAATATCTAGAAAATGAAGGACTATGTAACCTTGGCAACACTGAAACTCTGTGTGGACTAGGCTAGCCTCCAACTCACAGATATCTGCCTGCCTCTATCTCCCGAGTGAGCTATTTGCTGACTGGAATTAGATCTGTGCTTGTGTACATAACCTGAAATCAGAAGGGAAGGGGACCTCTTTGGGGGAAGAAGCAGAGCAGTGGGAGGGGAAAGAGAGGGAACCAAAGAGCAAATGAGGAAGTGAAATGATATTCAGGATGAAAAGGACATGATGAAACCCACTATTTTGTATGCAAAAAAAAATCAATCAAAATTAAAACAGGTTAAGCTTGGTGGCACATGCCTATAACCTGGCACTTGTGAGGTAGAAGGGAGAGGTTCAGGAGTTCAAGGTCTTTGGCTACAGCCTGGGCTACTTAAGACCTTATCACACAACCAAAAAGAAAGAGAAAACAGAAAATGAACACAGTTTCTTATAAATATCTTCTTTAGACTCAAGCCAGAGCTAGCTAATCTTTCAATGACCCTCCAGTTCTATTAAGTAGAAAATTGTGGGTTGGTTCCTCCACCCCCTTGAGATTAGAAGGCAGGGCACAAAGTAGGTGGAGCAATCTACCTTCCTTTTCTGAGAAGCAGAAACTTAAGAGGGTGGGGAAATCATTATGCTTTTATTACTTGAGCTGTAATGTTACACGAATGTTTTAGACTCCTCCTTGCTCAAAGAAACCTGTACAAGAAAGCTTAGGAGAGGATAGTCATACCACTGAAGTGGGGCAAGGAAATGACTCAGAGGAAGCAATCTCCTGATTCTAGGACACAAGCAGGATTTGTCTGAGCCTCTGTCCTTTCCCTGTGAGATCTGTGTAGCACAAGGCTGAGACCAGGCAACCGGGTCTGAGGTGGGGCTCCTTCGTCCAGATTGTGCGTGTGCCCACTGTGCTTGTTAGAGCCTTGCAGGCTTAAAATCTTCCTTTTTCACTGAGAACGGGAAATAGAAACTGGTCAGGTAGTTTAGGACAGGGACTTTGACCTTGGCCAGAACTAGGAAATGATGTCTTGTTTCTGCCCTGGCCAGAGACCAAGGACCCATGAAGGGAGGTCTAGTTTCTGTTGCCTCTTTTCCTGTAAATGAGAAACCCTGCCTATGTGGGGACATGACCAAAACTGAGAGGGACACCTGACACCTGTGGTTGGAACATCAGGACTGGCCAGCTCAGCCCCTTCCCTGTACCTCACTCCAGGTCTGCCACAGTCCTTTGAAAAACCCAGAGACTAGCAGTTCAAAGGTACCCCATGTCTGGTGACACACTCCTGCTCAACAGGAGCTCTGCTTCTTTCTTTAAGTCCCCACCTACCAATCTATGATAAAACTTCTTTCTAAACTCGTCCTCCTTTGTCCAAAATTTCAGTCTTGGAATTCACAAGAACAACCTGGAGCCACTGACTCAGTGGAGGTTTTGTGTGACCTTTGTGGGCTTCACTCCTGAGTTTAAGCCCACCCGCAGTGAGACCAAGCCTCTGTCGTACGAAAAGACACCCCACTTTTCCTGAATGACTATTGCACTCCTCCCTGTGAGTGTGCAGGGCAAAGTTAGAAGTTAGAGTGTTGGCCCGATGTTGGTCTTGGTGGTGTCCATGCTCCTCTTCAATCCCAGCACTTAGGAGGCTGAGGCAGAGGGAACATGATCTTGAGGCCAGTCAGAAAACAAACAAACAAACAACAACAAAAAAAAAACCCCCAAACAAACAAAGGAAGAAAAAATCACTCCAAAAGACATGTGTCTAGGGCAACAGGAGAGGTCACATAGACAGGCTGTTGAGGATGTGTGTGTATGCACAGTGTATACATGAATATGTCTGTATGAGGCACGTGCTGTGTGTGAGCTGTGTGCATGTGGTGTGTGAGGTAAGATATTCATATGGGGTATATGAAGTATGTTGAGATTAGGGAATGTCACCCCTAGCCAGGGGAAGGTAAGGTTTTTAAAACCAAAGACCACAGGACTGATGGTGGCTGGATAAACATGGTATTAGTTCCTGTTGAGCAAGCAAACAGAGGTACAGAACTGTTCTTAACTGTTAATTGACTCATCGATGAGTCAAAGTACATGGCAAAGGCAATGTAAGGAAGGAAGGCTTTCTTTTGCCCTCTGGTTTCTGAGGACATTGTGCATCATGGTGGGGACAGTGTGGGGGCAGCAGCGTGAGGCAGCTGGACACCTTGTTCTGTGTCAAGAAGCAGGGAAAAAGCAATGCTGCTCTCATCTCTCTTTCTCCTCTCCTCTGTTTATTCACTCTGGGACCCCACTCCATGGCTGATGTCACCCACATCCAGGGTGGATCCTCCCTCCTTGGTGAATGAAACCTCTGGAAACATCTTCCAGCAGTGTATCTCCTAAGTAATTCTAAACCCAGAGAGGCTGACAACAAGCAGTAATCATCATGTTTGTGCATATAAAATGCCCGAAAGGGGTGTGTGTGTGTATGTGCGTGTGTGTGTGTGGGGGGGGGTGAATGTGGGATAAATCTGTGTCCTTTTAGGTAGTATTGCTGATAAGCTTTCTCAAATTAAGAAAATAACCTCCTGGCGACTATTTTTTGTTATTGAAATATAATTGTTGCTTAAAACGAGCGTTTTAATGATGGCACTGTCAGTCAAGCATATCATATACTTTGCTCTTTGTCTCCTCCCATTACCCCATCTTGGTCCCCACGCCCTGCTGGTCTACTTCTGCTTTCCAAATAATTTCCCTTCTGCTTTCATGTCTTACGTTTTAAGTGTCGATTCTGTGTAGGAGAGAAAACAGATTTTTGTCCCTCTGAACCAGAATACACACCATGTTCTACATTGTGGTAAAACCCTCATACTGCTGCCGATGTTTGCAGTGCAAAGAGAACCGAGAGACCTCTGTGTCTTTCTTCTCACATTTCCTAAAGGACTCTGAAGCTCAGCCGCCTTCTCAGATGTGTGTTGACGGACTGTGATCTCTTTGCTGAATACCTTTGCATTTCTTTCCCGCATTTTCTATTGGTTGGTTATTTTTATCTTACTGGTTCATAAATTTTATTTGTATTTCTGATACTAAGCCTTTCTTCCTTAGGTTGCAAATATAATCTTTTAGCCTGTGCTTGCATTTAAGATTTTTTCCTATTTTTGTGATGGTGACTCTCCTATGATAAGATTAAGGCTAAGAACTTTGGACTGTGGAAGGGCCAAAGATAAGACAGGAAGAGATGAGGGAAGGATGAGGAAGGTAATCAGAAATCTGCCTTTGCCTCCTTCCGTTTTTTTACTGGACTGTCAAAATCTTTGTTTGCCGAACTGGTTTCATTCTTGTGATCCTTTGTCTTGTGATCATCCGTAACCGTGTATTTATGTGTAACTGCTTGCTTAATCACCAAGTAGCTGCTACGTACTTGCTTATACTCCTGCATATGAGTTGACTATAAAGTTCTCAAAAGCTTGAGCTGGGGGCTGGTGCTATTACAGGGGGATCCCAGTGTCAGCCCACTGGTGTGAATAAATGCTCTCTGCTTCACCTGGACCAGCTGTTGGTCTCCTGATTTCCAGAAGTTTTTGCAACATTTCAATCAAGGATATAACATCTTTACCAGAAAAATTTTATAGCTTAATGAAATATGTATTTTATGATTTTAGTGAATGCTGTTTTGTA